CCCCGCAGCCTCGGGAACCACGCTGGTTGGGGGCTGCCTGCCAGGGCAGCTCCAGGATCACCGGGACCCTCCTCTCTTCCACATTCTGGGCATCCTCCCAGCACCAGCACCTTTGCCTTCTATTCCAGGAACATTATTGAACACCTGTGTGCTCTGCACTAAGACAGGCTTCTGAGATGGGGAGCAGCTTAGAGAAAGGGTTCCCAGGTTGAGGGATGCCACGCAGGGCCCTGCGGGCACAACCAGAACTACGGCCCACTCCATCCTCAAGAAATCCTCTCTCCACTCCTCAGAATCCCCTCCACCTGTTCCCCCTTTGCTGTCCTGAATCTAGATCCCATCCTGCAGCCAGAGTTGCCCTGGCCGGGGCAGCAGACTCCCACGATAGTTCAGGAGGCAAAAGTGGGGAGGGGGTTAAAGTGAGATGCAACATCCCCTCCCTAGATCATGGAAGCTGGTTAATCCCTGAACCTCCTGGCATGGATTTATGTTCCCTGAACAGCCTGCCCTTCGTATTCCTTGTCTTTGGGGACCTGAATTTGTCCAGTTGAAATAAAAGGGTCTTTAGTGCACTTCTCTTGACCTGGGTGGAACGTTGCTTAGGTCTTTGGCCCCTGATCTCTAGAGGGTGGTCAGCTGGCCCACATACCAAGACCTTGCAGTTCTCCCCTTGCCTGGCCCCCCTACTTCCCAGCCTTGCTACCTTCCCAAGCATGATTGTTCCTTTTCTGACAGCAGAACAGTAATAATCATACATTCCCAAGCCTCTCGGAGTGTGGTTTACCTGAATAATCGGGTGAGAAGCTGGAGAGGGAAGAAAGACATGAAAGGTTCCCCAGCTCAGCTTGGGCGCAGAGATATGAGACCACACTTTATAGAGGAACATCTCAGGCACAAGAAGACAGGTGAGTTCCAGGCTCACCCCAACCCACAGACTTTCACATACCTGCCTCCCAGGGTTCAGACATGGCCAGCCTAGACAGTTCCCCATGTGGATGAAAGAAGCAAGCTTGTCTCAGTCTTTGCCTCTCCCTTTCAGCTCTTCAGTGCCCTTGTCTGAGCTCCCCCAACCTTCCCCAACACACACACACACAGAGGCAGGGCCTGTCTCTGGGCAGCCTCTGGACCATGGCCCCTTGGGTGCCCACACCCCAGTGACTGCCCTTAAAAGCCACTTAGGTAAAAGCTACATAGCTGCTCCCCACCCTTAACTCCTCTGCAATTCCTAGTTGATGCTGCCATAGGCGCCATCCTCTCTGGCTAACTCCATTTGTCTGTCTATCTGTCCAGAGGCTGCCTGTCTAACCTGCGACTGACTTCCCTGATCCCAGCTAAGTACTGCTGCCCTCAGAGTATGAGGATGGGTGTGGGCAGTACTTTTACCATATACTTTTGGGTGTCATCCTGCAGCAACCAAGACCATTTGACTTGCCAGGCCATTTCTTTCTTTCTTTCTTTCTTTTTGGTACCAGGGATCGAACTCAGGTCCTTTCACTTGCAAGGCAGGTGGCAGAACCGCTGAGCTAAATCCCCAGCCCTGCCAGGACATTTCTTAAATGGCTACACTAGAATAGAAAGAGATGGCTGGATGGGAGACCACCAGGTTAGGGATTGGGAAAGGGGTCAGAGTTCCTAAGACAGGGGGCCAGGAGGTCTGTTATCCTTATGTAAGACAGATTCCATATCAGCCTTGGCCCCTCCCTGGCCTTTTGCAGCCTAGACTCAGCTCCATACTCACCCTGTGACCTAAGATGGGACAGAGACAAAACAAGGCCAAGAGAAGGGTAATCAGGGACAAGGAATCAGGGACAAGGGGCAAGGAAACAATCACAGAGTAATGAAGGAGTCCCCAAAGAAAAAAGGAAACAAGAAGTACCAGGAATGTATCAGTAATAAGACAACATTTTAGGATGACAAAGGATCTGGTTAACAAAGAAAGAGGGTGCCTGTGCCTGGCAGAGTAGGTAAAAATGCACAGAATAAAGAAGAACAGCCAGAGAAGACTGGGCTACCATTTTTCAGCGGGTATGAGGAATAAGTGAGAGGTAACAGAGTAAGCATGAAGAGCCCAAAGCTACAGAGTGGGACACAAAGTGACACACAATTCTCATGGCTGAATCCTCTCAGGCCTCCTCCTTCTGCCACTCTGGGGACCTCAGGCAGCCAGGATGCTGAGGAGATGGGAGGAAGAGAGAGGGGCAAGCAGAAAGCCACCAACAAAGGCCTGGAGGTGGGGACAGGAAAGTGGCAAGGGTCTCCGAGGATGAGATAGGGGAGAGGGCCCGTGAGGCCTTAGGGTAATGCTGCGGGGAGCATGGACTTTATTTGCTAGTTCTTTGAGGAGTGGGGCGACCTCGACCCTAGGCCAACAGCTGGCAGGAAGATCAAGACAGGTCATGGGGGCCTGGTTCATTCCTCACTCCACCCTAGCCCTGCCAACTTACTAAACGAGGAGGTGGTGTGCCCTGGGTCAGAAGGAGAGCTAGTGAGACCCACCTCTCAGCCTTTGCCTCCCTTTGGCTGTCAGAGGGCACCCTAGGGTGGGGGTGGCCCTTGCACCCCCCATCGGGCCGAGGGCTTTTCTCTGGGCATTGGACCTGCACCCTTCCTGCAGTACCTCCTCTCAGGTGGAGGCTGGATTGGTGGGAGCTTTGAGAGGTGGCAGTGGGCAGAAGCCTGGGAACTCTGGGGTTGGAGCCGTGAATCTGAATCTCAGTAATAGCCTTGTGCGTCCCGGACACCGTTGGCTCCCTAGTGGATACTAATGTCTGCAAGAGATCACCTCGGCTCGTTCAGGCCCTCCTCCTTCAGACTGCAGTCCCTTAGAGACCCGGACGCGTAGAACAAGAGCACAGGATGGAGAGGCAGTAATCGCCCGCCTCGGAGGGTGAGGCGGCTTCGCTCCGCCCCGCCAGACCCCGCCCCTCCACCACGGCCCCTCCCATTGCCAGAGAAGTCCTTAACTCGAAGGCTGACGCCCGCAACAGCAGCCTCGCAGCGCCCCCTGGCCAGAACGTGTGGATTGCGTTGCCCGGGTGGGGAACTGCCCCAAGCCTTGTCCACCTATTTTGGAGCAAGGCTAGTCCTGCCCGGGTGAGGGTTGGGATGAGGCCAGTGCCCTAGAACCGGTTATGCAGCGGGGACATAGGGAATGAGTACCATGGGCAGTGTCAGGCAGAGAAGCCTGACCTCTACCGAGCTGCTAATTGGTCCTGCCTCTTCACCTTGGACCTGGACATCCACCACGCTGGGCCAGGGTATATCCAGGCAACTTTGCCAAGAATCCTAGCACCTGCGACCAAATATTTGAAGACCCGTTGGCACCAGGCACTGGCAAACACTGGGTAAATATCTCTGACTCAGAGAAACAGGGATTTGTGTACCTTGGCCAGAGCAACACCCAGGGTTAGAACAGCCCTCCGAGCAGCAATTAACTCAGCTGGAGGTCCTGGAGTCATCCTTCAGGGTGGGAACTCTGGATGGTTCAGGAATATTGCCCAGAGGTTCTGCAGGGGGGAGCAGGAGGTAAGGAAGCAAAAGGAGCCGTGAGTCTAGGCACAGTGCCAGCCCTGTGGCCTGGCCAGAGAACATGGGTAGTGTGGGGAGCTGTGATTGTATTGTGCACTGGCAGTGACAAGGTTAAGAAATTCATGTGTTTGTTTTTCTCTTCTTTCACTACCAGGGATTGAACTCAGGACCTTGTGCTTGCATGGAGGGGTGCGGTACCACCCCCAGCCCCCAGTTTTGTTTTTTGGGACAGAGTCTTGCTACATAGTTCAGACTGGCCTTGCACTCACTATGTAACACAGACTGGCCTTGAATTTGTGGCAAACCTCCTGCCTCAGCCTCCCAAGTGCTGAGATTATAGACATGTGCCACCACATCTGGTGATACCATGTTTTGAAAGGTCAGGTTTGGTGAGGACTAGGGCCAGAAATGGAGGAGTGAGCTTGGAGGGAGAATGGATTCACCTGAATGTATGACCTCTCCTCCCAGCATAGAACCTGAAAAAGGGCTGGATGAGCCAGGGATTTAGCTCAGTGGTACTGCTGCCTGCCGCACAAGTGCAAGGTCCTGAGATGGATCCCCAGTACCAAAAGGGGGGTACAATGGTTGAAATCAAGGAAAATAAATCTAGGAGTCCATAGAACTGGGGGATGGAGGACTGGGAATTTAGCACAGTGGTGCTGCTGCCTGCCTTGCAAGCGAAAGGTCCTGAGTTCAATCCCCAGTACCACCCCCCCAAGAAAAGAGAGAATTGAGGAATGGAATAAAAAGTAGCAGCCACACTTGAGGTCCAAGATATATCCAGGGGTCAGGGTAAACTGTCAACATGGAGTGACAGACCAGGGGCCAGTCCTTGCTGGATGGTCCCAGGGGAGACATGACAACATGGCCAAAGGAGGTCTCCAAGGGCAGATGGCACCAGAGCACAGTGAGCCATACAGCTTGAGGTCCAGTGCCATTGTGGGAGTCAGAAGCCAGAGTGACGCTGGTTGAAAGGCAGGGGTGTAGGTCAGTGGAGCTCTTGTCCACCATGAGGCCCTGGGTCCAATTCCCACCACTAAGCAGGAGGGTAGAGGGACCCAGATATTTATGGTGGAGCTCGAGGGGACCCCCCCAGTGCACTGAGATTCTTAATTCAAGATGGCAGAGCCTTGAGCCAATGACTGGAAATGCAGAGGCACATAAAAGGTGCAGGGTTCCTTGAGGAGGCATGAGGTGAGGGGTCTTCATCCCCAGAGAGGAGCACAGTGTTGAGGAATGACTGACGGTTCCTACTAACTCTCCAGAAGCCCTTGGCTGAGGGAAGGGAGAGGGTTCAAGGTTAAAATTGATGCTGGAAATGGGCTAAAGCCTGAGTGTGCTTCCCAGTGCAGATTCACCTTCCCCTATGCTTCAGCAGATAGGGAGGGACACGTGGTTTGCCTTCCCCCGTAGGTGTTGGTAGGATCAGTCACCAGTACCTGGGGCCTGGTCTAATGACCCACTCGTGAACAGAAGGGGGATCACTGGTGGAAGAAGGGACCTAGACCCCAGCAGCGTCTTTGTCTTGTTCCTCCCAATGAGCCCCGCAAGGACGTAGATTGCGTCCCCCCTCCGCTCCCCTCCCCCCGTAAAGGAAGGGGCTCTTGACATTTGCCAGGGCGTGGGCGCTGCTATGTGCGCTCTGAAGGTAGACGCAAAGTACACAGCAGAGAGGAAAAGGGTCACACGCGGGGGCGCAGGAATCAGGCTGGTTTTATTGACCAGAGCACCCGGCCTGGCCAGAGCCGGGAGCTGCACGCCCTTCTAGGAGCAGCGATCGCTCATGATTTATCACGCGCAAGGTCGACGTGGGCAGTGAATGTTCTCAGGGCGGTCCTGGAGCCAAGCGGAGCTGGCGAAGGCCGTTTGCTGCAGGGACCGTGGCTGGGCCACAGAGGAAGACGTCTCTCCAAAGGCTCTAGAAAAAAGCAGCAGGACTCTGGGAAGGGGGCCGAGCGCTGCCCTCAGGCTTCAAGAGCAGAGTACAGCCACGGAAAGCCTTTCTCAAAGCCCAGTGGGGGAACACAGACGCAGCAGGGAGTTAGGGTAAGGGTAGGGTTGCCAGAGCACATTTCTGTCAGATCCCCAAGACCCTCTTCCCTGCTGCCGTCGTGGCTGCTCCCTCTACCCCCGACTTACCTGGGAGACACCGCTGAGGTCCAGAAGTGGACGCCCAGCCTCGGCTCGAGCTCCGGAGTGCGCGGACTCCGAGGCGCACGGACCCGGA